AACATCGACCAGACTACACAGCGCAACAACCCAGAAGACTGAAATCTTCATACCCTGATGACGGAGGCAGTATGACCTCTGAAACGTTGGTTAACATCGACCAGACTATACAGCGCAACAACCCAGAAGACAGAAATCTTCATTATATTTTAACTTAAAATGCATTATGTGTTTTATTTGAAGCCAGCGCTGTTACAAAAAAAAAAGTTTCATCTAGTGTTCGACCTTTAAGGCCCAGCAGTGGTATCCCTAGTTGATCCACCCACCTTACATCTACAAGGCTTGTACTTATGTTCTAATTACTGTCATAAGTTACAGTTTTGTACAAAGTGATACAGGGCGTAACAATACTTCGCCAGCTCTTGTTTGATGTAAGTCATATGACGAAGCAAAAGTGAAAACTAAACAGTAGGACTTCGTGGGAAGTTCGTACTCACCATTATAGAACCATATATAAGAGCAATGCTGGTCATGAGATGTAACGTTATCATGGCAATGGATACGTGTAGCGCATTGACCATCACTGCAAAACAGAACAACATGTCTGAATCAGATCATCCTGTACGAATTACAAGGGACTGCAATTTGACTTAATGTCCCTATGAAATGGAGTTGTGTGTGTAGTTCTTTGTCAAGAATTCTTTTCTGTAAACATTCTCATAAAACTTGATCTGTAAAAACAAACGTTCAGTTCTAAAAACTCTCGTGAGAGTGCAGGTCATTTGCTAGGAAACACGCCAGAAAATTTACTTAACCAGAAATATTTGTTCTCTGCTGTAAGCATTTCTATATACGTTTCAGGACTTAACACCCTGATGATAGAGGCAGCAAGCACCTATGAAATACTGGAAAAAATGTTATAAGAGAAAACTGTTACAACCCAGAAGACAGCCATCTGATAAATCATTTATTAATGACAATGTAATATTTTCAAGACTTTTTTAGAACATAAGTTGTGATACAGCGATGTTTTATATCTGACCTAGTGACATATGCTGACCATCGTGCAAGCGAATTTCGTTTTTGCTGTTATGGTGTGGTGGCAGGACATACACTGATCCGTTATCGTCATTTGCAGAATTGCATGATCTGCCACCATCGTTTTCCTCGATGTCGTCTTCCAATATGGCCGTAATCTCTTGTGCGTGGATCGTTCCCAAAGCCGATGGCTGACATAAGCTGGTAAGAACAATCAGTTGTAACAACTTAACTTCTCTGGAAGGAAATAACTCCTGTAAAATTTGCAATCCCCTTAAATGTATTTCCTGATCCTTATTTGCATTGTACAGATCAACCTCAAAGCTTCTCCGAATGTAACTTCAAAAAGAGACGTACATTATAAATCTCGTGAGTATTGCTTTCACTTTTTCATTTGTTTTTGTTTTTGTTTCAGTTTTATGTATGAGTATAAATACAGTTCATATACGGAATGTTATAATCAGATTTCGTCACAATAATTATTATTAGTGGTGATTCAACTAATGATGATTTGACTCACCAGATCTATGACAGCAATCAGCATCGTGCCTTGTCGCAACGTCAACACATAACAGCAGCTTCGGAGAAGTACAGCCATTTTGATTTACTCGAGCCGAGTCAACCTGTAATGTTACTCTAACCTACAAATTGCATACACAGTTCTGTTATACCGTCTCTGTTTCTTGTATCAGAATTATGTTTGTCATTTGTTTTGTTTATTTTTGTTGTATTGCGATTACCTGTGGTGGTTGTAGGACCTGCCAGAGAGACCCACTGCGTATAACGCAGCTCTGGGAGGTCAATACAACCTCACTTTTCGTATGCTGCTTAGAAAGAGTTCTTCAATGAATATAAAAACATTTAATTTTCTGAACTTGGAGAGAACTTTGTAAGCACCAAATACATATTTTCATCCGAGATGAAGCCTCTCTCCACTTATCCGCTGAAGAAAGGGTCGCTGGGTGGATACCTGTTGGATAAAAGTCCAGGTAAACCCATTTGGATGATATGGCGAAGAGAAATGCATTCAACAATTCAGATGAAAACCCTAAAATAAGAGAGCACTTGGAAGACCTAGGTGTAGATGGAGTATAATATTAATACGGAATTTAGATAACTAGGGTTTTAAGATTTGTACTTGATTCATCTGACCGTTAAAGTTCTATAAAGATTCAGGAATTTCTTGAATAGATGAACAACTATCAGGTTTCGAAGAAGGATTTATGGAGTTAGTTTTTAGTGTAAAATTATAAATTGTTGAAGAAGCATGGACCTGTCTCCCCCTTATTTAATTAACGATTTGTCGTATAAATTGAAGTTTCGGATCAATAATGTAATTTTAGGTTATAAATTACAGGGAAGTTGTGATATTTTTACCCCCTGGTATAGGCTACTAGTTGAGTTTGCGTGACGAAAATATATTTAGCATATTAATGTGGTGGTTAAAATGAATTCCCAAAAGCTATTATTATACTTCTGTGGGCCTATAAGTAAAAGTTCAAATGTTTAATATTTTTCGAAAAAAAGTATATTAAACATTGGAAACCGCCTCCATTTTGTATCGAACGATATTCGATTGCTTGTACTCGATTCAGAAGACCGGCGGCCATACTGAATGCGCTCATTCAGTGTTATCGATGAAACCTAACCTTAAAACGAGTAGATTTATCTGCGCTAAGTACGAAAAACCGAAAGACTTATTATATCGGTGTTTACAAGATCATGCCACTGGACCGTATCCTGAAACAGATAATTACAGTCCACATTCTCAAATCCTTTATCGTATGATTTATTTTAATCTTGTATGTCCATTGTCTAAATCTCATTGTAATTTCTTTCATTCAGATTTTTTAAGACAAAACCTTTTGTGCATATCTCAGCCCTCTCGTTAAATAAACTTCAATCTGACATTCACTCCGTACAAGGTCGATCCCCGACGGGGGCAGAGGATTACGTAAGAGGATCACACTAATAAAGAATTTAATTGAATTACTGGTAATGATAGTAATAAAAATAATAATGATGATTGAATTAAATTAAATAAGTATATATTAAATCTTGTCCGTCTAATCACAATAATTCTTATTAAATATTAAAATATTACAATAATTAACATTTAAAATATTTAAAATATTAAATGATGTTCTTCTGAGGATGGTTCTTTTAGGAACTGAAACATGTCGTGAAACATGAAAAATGATGGTCTAATGTAAATCGAATATTTCGATAAAGAACATCATTTAATATTTTAAATGTTAATTATTGTAATATTTTAATATTTAATAAGAATTATTGTGATTAGACGGACAAGGTTTAATATATACTTATTATATCACAATATGACGCAACTTTACCATCTTATAAATTAAATCAGTTTGACGTAAATGATAATAAAATATGAAAACATTCGAGGAACTAAATAAGATAATTTATATAATTAGAATGGTAACACTCAGTGAGTGGTAAGTTCGGGAGGAGAGAAGGGGGGAATATATATATATATGTTGAATTTAATTAACATCTACTATAAGGATAACAACACAGTTGTTATAGAATGTTTTTAATGGAAGTAATTTTGTTTAAAATATTTCGAAGTCCCTACAGACACCATAACAGCTGATATGTATCTAGCAGGACATTTCTGAATAGAATAGCTGAAAATGAAGGCAGAAGTGGCTCTACAACAACAACAATAGTAATAAAAATAATAATAAACAAAATAATTTTGCTGTACAGTAAATTTTTGAGCCTGAAATACGCCTACATTTCGACGAAGTAGTCGCAGTGTTAATAATATCAACGAAAACAGAGTGCTGCACTACCGATCGAATTAATTATCTACGCCTAATATTATCAAAGCAATTAATAATGGTAATGTTCTTGCCTTCAGACTTCCGAAGCTTTGCTGTAATAGAGTTGCTGGATTCGTCAGCGAAACACGTCCTTCCTCGGGCCCGTCTTCCTTGTCACAGCGACGGAACCCTGGCGAACTGCGTCATTTCGGTCTGAGCAATCAATACGACGTCGGATGCTCCAGCTGCGCTGGGGGGAGGGGGGAGAGGCGTCTGCACCTCCCACACCTTCCCAGGGACTCAATCCCCGTTACCTCACAAATCGGGAATCAGAATCTTTCGTCTGTTTCTGGGTGATGATTCTGTTTTTTCCGTCGACATCCACCGTACCCATCTTGAAGGCAAGCGACTACCCAGCGGTCCTCGCCGATAGTCTAGTCGTTTCGCCTTGAAGATGGACAAAATTATGATCTCCGAAACTTCTGAAATACTGTGAGATGATAAAGTTGCGTCATATTGTGATAAATATATATTTGTTTAAATCTTTTCAGTCTAATCACAATAAAATTTCTATTAAATATTAAAATATTACTATAATTAACATTTAAATATTTAAAATATATTAA